TTTAATCTAATTATAAGGACTGAGATTATCTGAAGCTGTCCTTCAATACTTGCAAGGGCCAGGCTATTTTCACTTCACTCTTAGTCCAAGGGTACATATTCCCTCAGGATCCCAACCCAAAGCACTAGTGGACTTAGACCTGAGAACCTCTCTCTGGCAGATTCTGAACTCTAAACTTTTATTCCCTAAACCCTGTGAGGTCGTCAAAAGCTTTGCTTCACTTCTCAGCCTCTCAGCTGTCTCTTCTAGAATCGGCAGTTTCGTCTAAGGAAAAGCAACCCCAAATGCCATGCTCACCCCTCTAGGTTTCCTACCTCTCCAGGATCTTGGCCTCCTAATTCTTCACTGTCCTTCATGGGGATATTTTTTAAAATATTTTGTCCAACTCTTCTAGTTCTCATGTGGAGAGGTGATCCACATATTTCCTAGTCTGTCATTATCAAAAGCATATGATCCTTTTAGGTATTTTAGTTCAACTAATAGCAGACATTTTAAAGATGGAAATGCTTAATACTTTGTTATTGTATAATTATATAAACCTGCAATCTGAAAATGTAGTTATATTTCTCCATATGTCTTGTTCATTTAAATTGTAGTAAAACAAAATTTTTTACTCTCATCAACAAATCTTAATGGAGCACATATATATATGTGTGTGTATACACACACACACACACACACAAACACACACACACACATATACACACAGAGAGAAAGAGAGAGAGCACACAGTTAATTGAGCCCTACATTAACCGTACATAATACAAAATATAGGAACTTCTGAAGGGAATTCCAGTCTATAAAGTACAAAATCATGAGAGAAAGCTTTCTAGAAAAGATAAGAAAATGAATTAGGAAGAATCTGTAATTCTATAGGGATGTAGATTTGCCTGAAGGTTCTCCAGCAGAGGATTGATGGGTAAAAAGCATTGTTTTGAGAAGATTAATATGGCATTCAGCGTATAGGACAGACTCTGAAGTTTGCCTCTTAAGAGCAAATCTAGAGATAAGCTTCCTGAAGATAGGGTTCAGCACAATGTTGTTCTCATCCTCATCACTGTAAAAACAACCAACCATTTACTGAGCACTTACTATTTGCCAGGAACTGAGTTAGAATGCAGTAAAAGCTTTGGTTGGTTGGTTGACTAAAAGACCCAATAAATGCCTTAGACTCCATCACTATAATCATTTCTTTGCAGACACCCTCATTATCTTGACCCAAGTTTCCTTCTTCAAACTCACCTGGAAAAACTCTGACCTTGGTTAAATACAACTCTCTAGTGACTGCACACCTGGACCTATGCAATTCAACATAGGTGGTCTCACCTCAAATTAACCACCACTAACTTCAAATGGGCCCTAATGCTACCTGGCAATCCTACTAATTTCCCTAATCCAATCACTCTCCCAAATTCTTACATTCCTTTATAACTCATCTCTCCTCAAATCTCTAACACCTCCACTCTTCACAGCCTGAGCTCATGACCTGGATTCTTTTTTGTACTGAGAAAATAGCAATCAGCAGACAATTTCCACACATTTCCACTACACCTATCAATTTACCAGAAATTTATAATCATAAACTTTGTCTTTTTTTCCAGTTATAATAGATACACTGTGTTCCCATCCATTCCACCTCTGAATTGAATCTAATGCTAAAGGATATCATTCCTGCCGTTGCCCACCCTTTCTCCCATATCATCAATTTTCCCCTTGCTATTGAATCATCCTATAATTTCCCCCTTCTTAAAAGAAGCTTTTGATCCCACAACTCTCCTTCGCTACTCAGTTCTCTGTTCTTTACAACAAAACTCCTCAGACAAATTCTGTCCACTTCAATCAGGTTTGTGTACCTACTACTTCATGGAATGCCACTCTCTGTGCCACCCTCCTAGCAAACCAATAGTTCACCAGGCTGCAAGCTTTCTTTATATAATTATTTATGTAATGTAGGGAGACCTAACTGGTCTCCCTACCTTCAGGCTTTCTTCTCTCTGGCACAGTAGTTCTCAAACTTTAGTGTCCATACAGATCACCTGGGAGTGACTAATAGTACTCTTTAGGTATTGCATGTTATCTTTTTTCTCCAATTAGATTATACGGTCATCAAGAGCAGGAATTAATCATGGCTTCTGTTTTCCCCTCAGTCTATAATATAATGCTAAGCTGTACAAAATACCCAATAGATATTTTACAATGTCAAGACTATGGTTCATTTCTTTTTCAAAAACATTCATATCTAACCAAGAATTATTTCAGAGAGATATACTTTATCCTAAGTTTGTAGCAAGCAGTCATTTCAAGTGCCTCAAAAGGAAAAGCACAACCCATTGTGTTCATACCAAGAGCTCTCTCTTCATACTCACACTCCAAAAATGTGTGGGGAAAAATATACAGAGAAGTCATCAATTACAGAAGAGCATCCCAACTCAAGATACCTGGCCAAGCTTTTCCAAACAAATCAACACAACAAAATATCATTACACAAAGACTATCTAAAAACACTTACCAGAAATGACATAAGCTTTGTGCTTAAGAAGGTGGAGCTGTAAATAAACACACTCAGATGGCAGTGAGCCATCTTATCTAGCCTGAGGGAAAAAAATAAAGCTGCTACTCCCCAGTTATAAGAACTTCTCATAGGAAAGTAACTCTAAAGGATTATGATTTCTGCCTTAATGTTTTGTGACTTGTGTTAAGTCTTACTACACAAGAAAGCTATGATTTTGTCACTTAAAGAACCTAAAAAGTCTTTTGCACTCTTATGAATTATATTTATGTAATCTTACAGCCATGAAAATGTTCACGTAGAAGCATTATCTTTAACTTGAATGGGAAAAGAGTTTGAGTTAAATTAATTTTATAGTGATTATTCTGCCACAGAAAATAAGAGTCATGTGGATTATGGCATTAATGAAGAGAAAAGCAGTAAAGTATTTGGAATCAACGAAAGTGGGAAATTAAAAAAGTTAACAGTGTAGAAAGAGCACAAGATTAAGACTAAAAAGATGTAGATATTAGTCATGGTGTTGATTCTTACTAGTCAAGTGATCTTGGCTACCTACCACTTCAATTTCCTAATCTGTAAAACCTATCTGAATGGTAAGATACCCCTGCCCTAAAATTATATATACTTATATACTTTTTATAGTATTTCTATGTCACATATACTGCCTGTTTTTCCACTTTAATTGATGTAAAGTTGTAAGCCTCTAGGAAAGTGTTCCACATGGTAAGACAGCTCGGGTCATAATTATTCACTGAATTGAGCTTAATAATTTCCTGTGACTTAAAATCATAATCCAGAGATCACATTTTAAAAAGTGAAATGGATATTTACTATGTGCACACCAATTATTTGACAGCTATTTCAATAGAAAAAAAAATTCATCCTAGGTCACAAAACTGATGAAAAGTTATTTTGTGGTTTCTTAAAATATCACCTCCTCACCTCTTTCTGGTATACCCATGATTAGTTGATAATCTCCCTCACCACTGGATGTCACTTTTGCTCCAAAAGAAGTCAACCCAAACTAACCTCAATAATTAGAATCTCATCTCTAAGATACTTATCTCTAAAAACCACAACATAAAAGTTTCTCTGTGAAAGATAAAATCAGCTCTTATAATTTCTAGCTAAAATCTGGCTTCAGATCTTCTAGGCCTCAAACAGTACAAGGAAGCATAAGTAGGATTTCTGAGATCATCCCAAGTCATAAAATGCTTCACTGAAATCCCTTCAATACGCACACACTGCTCAGTACTTAAATGAACAGAAAAAAAGAGAAGTAATATCCATAGGGGAAAACAAATAAGTGTTTGTATTTGAGTATAAAACACTGGGATTCCCATACAGTAAATGCTGTTTTCTAATCTCAACATTATACTACTTTTAGCATCATAGGAAGAGAAAAGCAATATTCAAAAACCAAAAAAAGTGGAGAACTAATGACTTTTAGACTTCTCATGTTGTCCCTCCAACTATCAGGACACATTTGGCAGTTATAACATAAATAGGTAAGTAGGAACTGTGTCCTTGGCTTCCAAATTCAGAATATGTAAATGATATACAGTTCTCTTTTCTTATGCAAATATGAACAGCTAACCTTTCCAATAAACATACAAACATTAAGATACTGGTGTGTCTCTGCCTAGAAGCACCTTCCTGTCATCTCAGACCTTCTCACCTCCCCACAACCAATGCCACTAACGGAACTTATCAAATGGAGACACATCAAATCATTTGTGGTACTTTTTTTAATACTACCCCCTGCCCCAATACACACACATGCCAATCTTGTTGAAAATAACTGCTGAATCACTGCCACAATGAGTTATGGTTACTGATGGGGCCATGCTACATTCCTTGGATTTGTTGAAGTAGAAAAAAGTTGTAGATCACTGACTTAGATGAATCATCTGATTACATTATTTCCATGATGCCCTGGACTATTTCCAAGAAAACAAAGTTTTTAGGTTCTGGAGAAAATATACCTCCAAAGGTGAAACATAAAAAAGATCACGGCTGTGGAAACTATCATGGCTGTTTCAGAAGCCAGGGGGAGTCCTAGTTCCTTCTGCTGGGGCAAGGAGATACATGCTCCTATATTCCTGAATTGGAAACAAAAAAGCATTTTAACCACAAAAATGATGTTACAAGTATTAGTTAAGCAGAGTTGAAACGGGCCTAACTACCCTGTAATTTAAGTGCAGAATGAGTTAAATAAGACTTGTATGGGCTGGTCTAGAAACTTTACCAATGAAAAACACTGTGTCTGTGGGAAAACACATGTTGGCTCTGTACACAAAATTTAGAAATAAACCTGTTGAGCAGTTTGCATTTTCCCAATTAATCTCTGCAAGGTTGACAGCAAAATGTCATATTTAAATATCAAATTAAACATACCACTAAAATCTCAGTTTTAATGATACATTTTATTCTCCTAAAATAGTTAATTATGTTTAACTCTATAGAAATCACTTTAATAAGAACCACTTGCCTTTTTCTGGGCAATTGCAGCCCGCTGCAGTTTCTCTTTAGCTTGATTATACTTTTCTTCTCTGTCAGTGATACGTTCATGAAGCTTATGCTTTTCTTCCAACCACTGTATCTGTTTCTCTTCCAATGTCCTATCAGAAGAATGTATTGCAAAACATGGATGTTAACTCTTAGGATTAAATAGATATTACCACAAGTATAATCAAACTCACTATCTGCTTCACCACATCCTTAATTACTCCACTGCAGGCATTCTTGCATGGCCACATATTTGCTAATACTACCATTACTGAGTACTTCTGACGAGCCAGGCGCTGTGCTTAGAACTGTAAGTGTACTGTGTCATTTATTCTTCACAATAACCCCTTGAGTTAGGTACTTCTGTCATCTCCATTTTTTAGATGAGGAAACTGAGGCTTAGAGCAGTTAAGTAACCTGCTTAAAGACTTACACCTGGTTAACAGCAGGACAAACACTTGATAACCAGCTTTGAACCACGATAACTATCAAGCTATAAAAACCGGGCCTAATAAGGCTGGTTAAAAATCAACCCAAGTATCAAGTCTTAAGGTATGTTTTCTGGTTAGAGTAAAATTCATATAAATGATATTTTAAGGTAATATAAATATCATAACAACTTATATCTTTAAAGCTCTTTTGCATACTTTATATGATTTTTAGTATCATTACTATAGGGAGTACAAATGAGATTTACAAACCCTGAGAAGTCAGATTACATGCCTAAGGTCATACAGTTAAGTGTCTAAGCTGGGACAAAAATCACATTCTACTGACCCCTAGTTCATTTATTTTCTGCTATATAATCCTATAAATAACATTCAGAAACCAATTATGAACTACTTAAATTTGCTGGCTATACTGTCATGAGAATTCTCAAACACATTTCAATCAAACACAAGGACTCCAAGATACAAATTTCTATTTTTTGCAAAATATAAACACAATAATGTGGATGCTGTGGAATATCACATTATGGACAAATATCTTGCTTACTTCCTTTTCTTGAAATTCAACTGCATATATGAAACAATGGACAAATCTTAAAATATGAAATAACAGAAAAACTGAAGGGAAAAAAGTTTTATATCGCAAGGTAGCCTTCAGAAGAAAAAAGTCTGAAAAGAATGCTTTGTAGATTCGAATAAAAACGTGTTATAAAGACAAAGAAAGTACAAAACAATAGTTTTTACCATATCTAAAAATCTGACAGAGAAAATTCCAAAATTTTCACCAAAATCAATTTCCTTCCAGTTTACTATACTGTTGACTACTAACGAATTTCAACAACAAAAAATATAAACAAATAAATGAGCTTTTCAAAGGGAAAATCCAAGAGATTATAGTTCAAATTTTAGGAAGTTTTGCACATCAATAAATTTTTTTCTGTTCTCTGGCATTCAGAAGGATAATTCAGATATTTGAAGTAAGAAATGTATTGATTTACTCAATGAACAAAGAAGATTTTCTTTGAGGGTTGTCAGAATGCCGTGGTCAGGCAGAATTTTAAAAGGTCTTCTTCCCTAAATGTCTTTTTTTTTAAAAAAAAAAAACAATTCAAGAGTCCATAATGCTCATTCTCTAGAAAGTATCTTACCTAAGACCATTATACATTGTCAAAGGGTATTCGTAACTAGTTCCCAAAACACATTCAACACTGGAATCATCATTAAAAGAACTATAAATAATATCACAGAAAGAAGAAAGAGTTTGTACATAAAAAAGAGCAAACTCTACTTTTCAACTTCTAGTTGCGCTTTTTCAGCTTGGTTTCTTAAATTTCGGCATTCCTGTTTTAACCTCTCCACCATTTCCTTCAGTACTTGGTTTGAATTCAGCAACTCATTCTCTGACTGTGCAAGTGAGGTCACTTGGATCTGCAAACTACTGATTTGCTTAAAAGAGAAAAAAGAAGAGAAACATAAGGCCACTAAACAAATGCAATAGAGTATGAGAGAGGCAGAGGACAGACACACCAAGCATCCTCCCTCACAAATGCCCCACCCAACTCATGCCCTTGAGGACATCGTTAGGATTCATTAGCATAGGATCATTTCTTAACATAACCAGACTATCAAGAACCATATTCCTCAGTCTGCCACTGAGTCCCCTCTCTTCTTCCCAAAATAAGCAGGCCAGATGAGGTACTGGGAGTGGGGAGAAGGGTTATTAGAGGGGAACATGAAGGTGAGAAAAGAGAATCCAACTATTAGAAAGAGTCTCTTATTGGACTTCCTCTAGCCTCCTAGGAAATAAAAGATTTTAAAAGCAGATCAGCTGGGAAAGCTGCTAAGGAAATCGTTCTCCTATTCCCACATACCCTGTAATAAGCAACCCTTCCAAGAGTTCTGCTTTCTGAACAGTCAGAAATCATAAACACAGGAAAGATCACCCTCACATTGTCTTTAAATGGTTTCTAAGCATTCTATACATCCAGTGTTGGGCAGAAGAAAGATGCTCTGAGAAACCTAATGAATGGCAGGGATTCCTTGGCCACTAGAGCCATTTATCAAACCATGAAATGTCACTCAGATTTTTTTCTCCCTCCCAATTTACTTTTATCTGGGAGTACTTTTTCTCATGAAAAATAGCTAATTATCTAGTTACAGATTGACAGGTTAGGAAGATTCACACTGCTTTTAAGTTATATCCAAATAATCTTCCTTAGGGACACGGTTATCCCCATTTTCCCCATAAGCCATTTCACCAATTAATAAGCAAGTCCTCATTTTTCTTTCTCTTTCTTCTACCTCTCTTAGCCATTCTCTGAGAATTTTGGAAGCAGAGAGTCAAGAGATTCAGGATCAAAAGAACTCATTATGAGACTCAAGAGTCAAAAGAAACCAGATTCTTTATGCAATATATTAAATAAATGGGAAATAATTCCATTACTTTCTGATGGAAGCAAAAGCCAAATAAGACAGGACTGTATATGTCCAAATAGCAATTGTCAGCAGAATAAAGTAAAACTGTATGTTTCAGATTTCTATTTTAGAACAAATTTCTCCATGAAGAACTACTCAGTCTTCATTTTTAACTGGAGTTGTAAATACTAAATCTGTATTACAGCTGACTGAACAAGCAGCCTTCAAGGAGCTTAATACTTCTCCATATCTATAGGATGACAGAAAGCCCAATGCCAACGATACCACATAACTTCTTTCAGAGTATCAAACATTATGCACTCCTCGCAGAGACTTTGAAGTCACAACTGCACGTGCAAAGCACTGCCAGCTAGCAAGCAAGCATAAATCCTAACAATGGAATCTTCACTTCTTCATCGTGTAAAGGGGGAAAAAAAACCATTTTACACAAAAAAGAAAATAGAATTCAGGAAAGAACACTCTTCTATGTTTTGCCCATATAAATTTTTCCTAAACCCAAATAACTTTAATTAAAATGCAAATTTCCTTCCATAGATAAAACTCATAGGTTTTACAGGGATATAAGAAATAGCTCATGGAATAAGAAATGTAAAGTTACAAGTCAATCACACAAGTAACTTAAAACCTAGATGGTCTTTCTAGTCAATTTTTTAAATTCAGAATATCAAAATATTATCCTTTAAACTATGATTTAAAAAAATTCATCATGGGCCACAGCATATAAATATCTTAAAAACAGCAGTTAGCAAAAGAAGCTTACTAAACTAGAGCTTAAAGAGGTTTAAACATTTTCTTTTTACATACCAACCTCATCAATACATTATCAATTGTAGTGATTATATTTTCAGAATACTGATATGTAAAATTCCAAGAAAGATTCAAAACACAGATTTAAAGAAGCACTTAAAAAAATAAAAGCAGGGCCGGCCCCGTGGCTTAGCGGTTAAGTGCGCGTGCTCCGCTGCTGGCGGCCCGGGTTCGGATCCCGGGTGCGCACCGACGCACCGCTTCTCTGGCCGTGCTGAGGCCGCGTCCCACATACAGCAACTAGAAGGATGTGCAGCTATGACATACAACTATCTGCTGGGGCTTTGGGGGGAAAAATAAATAAATAAAAAAAAAATAAAAATAAAAAAAATAAAAGCAAAATGTTTGCTAAAATCATACCTGTTTCAGGTCAGAATTTTCATTTTTTTCCTTCTCTGCGTTTTCAATATCCACAATTTGTTGCTGAAGTTTTAACCTAAAAATTACAACCCAACAAAAGACATTATTAAGAATCCATAGTTCATATATTTCACTGAATTAGACAATCATTTTACTGAGTGCCTGTATTAACACCTGGCATTGTGCTATGCAAAGTGGTAGAGACTTCAGGCAGCTAAGTTGTGTTCACATATAACTAAAATGTAACAAATTTCTGCTTTTGTCACGGAAAAATCTACAAACTATGTGTATAGAGAAGATGAGAAATCAAGTCTGTCTAGGAACATGAGAGAATACTACACGGAGATGAAAATCTGATGGGTAGGATTTTGATAAACATAGGGAACGGCCTGAACGAATGGTCTTGGGTGGAATAGTGCAGTGTGTGTCGCTAAGACATCAGCAAGAGGTCCAGTTTAGGAGAAGCTATCTTACAGCCACATAGCATTTCACGATCTACAAAACGCTTCCAGAGGCACTACTACTTCACTTTCACTCTACTAGGTTATGGAGCTCCTAAATGTATCCTTAATGCCTACCACGATGTCTTTAGTACAACAAGCATTTAATTAAGTTGGCCAATTTTAATTGTAGTAATTTCTCACAATAATTCTATGAAAGTAAGCAAAGTCATCTTTATTATTATTCCAATTTTACAAATAAAGAGATTGAGGCTTAGCTAAGGTAGGCCCAAATGAAATAGCTACCAAGCAGCCAAATCAGGTCTTGTAACACTCAAGCGTCCCCCTCTTCTACTTCATTATGCTGCAATTTTACTGATCTGAAATTCAGAATTTAAAAGAAAATTATCTAGTACAGGACACCACACTGTATTCTATAAAACATATTATGAGTTTTCATCCCTGAGATAAATGAACACTTACACAACTTGTGTCCTCTTCAAAAGGAATGATACATTCTCTGCCTTAAAATGCAGAGCACCTCTGGCGACCAAACGACTAACATTATGAGAAAGACTTTACACTAATTAGGTTTGACAAGACAGGCCCTCAACCTCTCCCTTTTTAAAATCCTTCAGACACTTATCGCAAATATAATTCACTTAGCACTTATTATTTATAGTTTGGCCTCATTAGCATGTCTTATAGACCCAATTAGAACTGCTTATTGGGAAGACAACACTCTCAAGGGCCTAGGGCTGTGCTTTAAACACTAATAAGAATTCCATAAATATTTGTTGATGGACTGAATGAACCAACCCAAATCCTAGATTAGACAGTGAAATGTGTAAGATGATTGTACAATATGACATGGAGGAAACCATAAGACACAGTGCTTCCTGAGATATTTACATACAAATGCCAGAAACAAGGGCTCTAAAGGAAGAACGCCAGTCTTGCTCTTCCTTTGCTCCTTTGTGCAGTCATACTCTTATTTCATAATTCTAACTATATTATTGCTCTATCAAATTTTCTGTGCATTTCTCCCTTAAGTATTTATAAGTGTTATGAACTTGGTGCTTTTAGGTTACTGAATTAATAAAGGTTTCTTTGTACAAAAACATGAAGATGAAAATAGAGGAGAAAACACTGTGGGTCCTAGACCAGGTTGAGAGTTAGAAAAGTTAAGCCCCAAGTATATCTTAGCTCTGGTTGAGATTTTGGATACACCTGGTAAATTAATAAGGAACAAGACCCAGGTAAGAATGCATTTGTGGCCTGAATGCTTTCTAAACATGTAGATATGAAAAGAAACAATAATGCCATACCTACAAAAACTGAAATCAAAGAAACCAATGGTAAAGAGTATTTGACTATCATTAAAACATGAAAGGAATAAGACGCCATTATGGTAGACTATAACAGATGATGTACAAAATTTTCTTCAGTTCACTTTGTTGAAGCACTGCCGGGTCAGAATCCACAACTGATGGCTAAGTGTAGGGGCTGCTAAAGTGGAATAAAGATAAAGAATGCCAGAGTGAAGATAAAATAAACTACAGTCATCTCTCGGTATCAGTCGGATATTGGTTCTAGGAACCCCGTGGATTCCAAAATCCACGGATGCTCAAGTCCCTCATATAGAATGGCGTAGTATAACGAATACAGTGGGCGCTGCATATCCATGGATGTCTGTGGCTAAGGTGTTGGATGGGTCAACAATATGAATGTAGTCACTAAGAACGATAGCAAAGGATAGAAATTAGAAAAAAGTTGAGCCAGAAGTCAAGGTCCTCAATAACTGTTGGGGAATATCTTGTAGGTCAGTAACTGGCAGAGAAAAAGATAGGGATAAGATGAATGCAATGAACATCAAAGGAAAAAACATTTTAACCAAAGATAGTCAAACAACGGTCTGCAAGCAAGAATGGGGTTCACAAATACTGATTTCCTTTCTTGGTCCCTAGTTTTAGGAGAGGGAAGGAGAAATAATTTCCACTTACAAGGGTTGCTTGGTAATATGCCATCAGTACAAAGTCAGGTTTCGGTGAGAGGGTGTTTAAAAAGAAAATGCGGAGACTGCAAAAACTTCATTGGTAATGAAATAGAGATTTCAGAGGCCATAGGAAAAATTGTAAAAGAAGAGCTTTAATGGGTTGGTGGTGAGGAGGAATCAAAAGGTGAAGAATAAGTTGAGGAACGAGAAAAGTATGAGATCAATTACTTTATATTTTAAAAGTAATTATGGAAATAACGGAAGCAGAAATAGTACGTGAACTGGAGGGCCAAGGTACAACAGAGAATGCAGCTGTGGAAAAGTTTAAATGGAAACATTTGGAATAATAGTGAGATGGAGCTGTTCCAAGTCCTCTTCAAAGTACAGGGGAGCTAAGTATGGTGATTATTGCCTACGTTTTCTATGGCAGGCAGCTGATGTGTGTCATTTCAACATTCAACAAATATTTACTGAATGCCTACAAATGCTGAGCCCAGACCTAAGTGTTGCAGATATACCAGAGAATAGCAAAGACAGAATCTCTATCCTTAAGGAATTTACAGTCTAACAGCACTGTCTGATCGAGCTTTATTTAATGATGGAAATGTTCTATTATTTGCACTGTCCAATATGATAGCCACTAGCTACATGTACTATTGCACGTCTGAAATGTGGCTAGTGCAACTGAGGGAATGAATTTTTAACTTTTTAAAATTTTAATCAATTTTAAATTAGATTTAAATAGCTATATGTGGCTAGTAATACCATATTAGGCATGAAGATTCTAGTGTAACCTCTTGGCTTCATTTGAGGTCACCCCCATTATCAAGGGAAAGCAAAAGATAAGGCAAGCAAGAGAAGTTGTATTTGTGATTTCTCTATTGTCAAAGATCCCTAGAACAAGTTTCTTGAGAATGGCTGTTTTTACATCAACTCACTGAAAGCAAAGTTCTTGCTTGTGAGCATTGGAAATCAACTCTGGCCATTATTAGCAAAAAAGGACTTTCCTGGGAGGATATAAGAAACTCACTGAATCAACAGGGGACTAGAGAATAGAACCAGGCTAGAATAATTGACCAGAATCACAAGCAAGGATATGCCACAGCAACTGTCTGGTTCTTCAAATGCTGCCACACATTCTTCCATGACTGACTTTGCATGCAGTTCAAATTCTGAAAGAGAATTTGTCCAACTGGCCAAGTATAAGTTTCCTATTCCCTACTAAGATAACATACAACAAATAATTCATTTGAAGATGGAGTATAAATAGAAAGAAGAATATATTAAATAACAGTTTTTTTTTTGTTTTTGCGGTTTTTTGTGAGGAAGAGTCATCCTGAGCTAACATCTGTTGCCAATCTTCCCCTTTTTGCTGAGGAAGATTCACCGAGTTAACATCTGTGCCAATCTTCCTCTATTTTGTCTGTGGGTCGCCACCACAGTATGGCCACCGATGAGTGGTGTAGGTCTACGCCTAGGATCCAAACCCACAAACCCAGGCCACCAAAGCAGAGCACGCCAAACTTAACCACTAGCCCATGGGGCCACCCCCAGTTGTTTTTTTTTAATGTTTCTAAAAACCTTAAGAAAAAATTAGAAAGCCACAGATGGAAAATAGAGCTCTGGCTTTAAGCAACACAAAAGATAAGGGGTTTCACCATGGGATACCTTAAATGATCAAGTTCCCTTTCCCTTAGTTATTGCTGCTATTTCCCCAACACACTTCCCCTCACTTCTGATAACAAACTGCACATTACCTCCCCTCCCACCGAAAAGAGGCATAAAACCTGGGCTGAGTCAGAATGCCCTATCCCTCTGGCCCAGAGATGGGCAAGTGAACAAGGCCCAACCCTTTTCTAGATTTTTCCAACTTGAATCATGAAATAAGAACTCTGTCTTCTTTGATCTCAAAATATAGTCTTGGCCTCAAAGAGAAAGCAGAAGGAGAGAAGGAGACACAAAAGATAGAAAAGAGAGGAGAGAGATGAAAGAAGGGAAGAAGTGGGGCTGGCCTGGTGGCGCAAGCGGTTAAGTGTGCGCGCTCCGCTGCAGCAGCCCGGGATTCGCCAGTTCGGATCCCGGGACGCACCCACGCACCACTTGTCAGGCCATGCTGTGGGGGCGTCCCATATAAAGTGGAGGAAGATGGGCAGAGATGTTAGCCCAGGGCCAATCTTCCTCAGCAAAAAGGGGACGATTGGCAGATGTTAGCTCAGGGCCGATCTTCCTCACAAAAAAAAAAAAAAAAGGGAAGAAGCAACTCATCTGACCACATTTGAGTTCGTACATCCAGGTGTCCACGAGACCAGCACAATCCCTGTCCTTTCCACAATTTATCTCAGCCAATAAAGTCCCTTTTTTGCTTGAGTTAGTTAGAGCTGGGTTACAGTCATAACCAAAAGTTGACTAGATACTTTATTTAAAACCCTGTAATTTTTACATGTTTTTAATTTATAGGTAACTTTACAAATTTTACAAACTCATTGTGGGGTGCAGCAGCCTTTTGAAATACAGAATTCTATTAGAATAATAATTTTATTATTTAGTCTAGCAGTGAAGAAACCACTTTAATGAAGAGACTGGTATGTAATTAATAATTTAAAGCATCTGCCAAAGCAGTGATTAATCCTACTTCTCATG